GAATGATTCAGCAAAAAATGATAAAAAAGTGGTTTTAAACCGGAGTGCTTACAAAAGAGTTTAAATGACCGCACAACAAGATTGACATATTTCAAGCGGGTTATCGCCCACCCCTTAAGCGAATATATAGTTTCTTCAGACACAAAAAGCAATATACGTCAGTCAAGTGCAACTAACTTGAATAATAATTTATTATATTATTATATTATAATAAGTTATAATAATAACTTCAATAATCAAACTAACCTAAAATCGATGGGGGACGATGACGTTGTGTTTTTATCTGGTCCTTGTTCCTGGTCCACTTGCTATTCCATAACTTCCATTTCATCATCAGCTTTAGTAAAATGACCTGATAGCTTGGAATTTTACTGAGTAACTCATGTTTTCAATCCCTAATGGTAATGAATGGAATTTACGACAAAACTCCACTAAATAACAGCGGTAATAAGTGGGGGGCGTGGTGGATCTTTGGTGATCAGCGCTACCGATGGCAAGTCAGTCTACTCCACAGCCAATCACGGGCCCCCTTCTTGCTCGGGGCCCGGGGCTTCAGCCCCGCCTAGCCCTATTGTTAATGTGGCCTTGCATGTCTGTCAGAGCATCTGACGTTGCAAACTGCTTTAAACTATATGTGTTAACTATATCTTATGAGTTGTTTTAAAACCCTTAATATAAGCATGTCTCATGTTTAGGACAAATTGGATTATGCACTTTCCCCCGCAGCAGCTCACTCTGCGTCCTTTGCTATTATTCAGATGCGCTCGTATCAAACTACTTTATGTTGATATAGGTGGTATTGCCTCATACCATATCGCTTAGAAAAAATATTTTGATATATTGTACGAACTCGATATACCGCCCAGCCCTACGTTACAGGTATTTTACCATGCTCAGATCTTATTTTGGACTTGTTTTTGAAGCTGCGGTTGCTTATTTGTTTCGCGAGAGTTGGCAACAGTGATTTTCATTCAGCCCGTCTGCTGTTTTTGTTTCGTGCAGATGTTTTATGTAGCATAATTTCAAAAAGCTGAAGTCAGACCATTCTGTTTTTGCTTTAAATTATTAAGTTATATAAACTAATTTACATTAAGAACTGTTCATGCTACATGTAGCATCTTTGTTTGGATCGTGATTAAAATTCAGTTTTTTCTGCAACTGTTTCATGCTTTCTGATTCATATAAAGGCAGTGTCAGGAAAAAAACGTGATAAACCGTGAAACTGTCAGAATCCTTAAAAAAACCTGTGATACAGATTTTTGATCAAACCGCCCAGCACTAACTGAAAGACTACTACTTTGCATCTGACAGACTGTATGAGCACGTTTCTGAGTTTACATTGTTTTCTCTGTCTTAACATCTCCTGAATTAATGTTCATTGGTGGATTCTGACATAAGCGAGGAACGCGTATGCTTAGCACTTTCACAGGATATGCTACCCTTTTTGCCTGTCCCTGTACTTAACAATGCATTGTGTCCAATCATGTAACTTTTCAAGCAGCTCTTGTACCCCACAACCTGTAAATAACCAATTACCTGTAAACTTGTTCTTCCCAGGGGGCCTAAATCAAAACACTGTAGTCCATGTAATAAGTGCGTGGCAAGCTTTGACCACCACTGTCGATGGTTGAACAATTGTGTGGGCAGCAGAAATTACTGGTGAGTCGTTTTCACTTCCTCTTCTCTGTCTCTCATTGTGTGGGTCCGTTTTTTTTCTGTCCTTTCGTTTCCATGGACAGACGGATCCTGTGTCAAACTTTTCAGAAAGAGATGTAAAATTCAGATAAAGCATTTTATTTTATAGTCTGTCACCATATCCAGTATGCTGATGTGAAACATTTCATGATTTTATGACGTATGTAATGTTTTCTCAAATGGAAGTCATAAAGCAATCATGAGATCAAGTGCTGTTGCTTAGCATCACATACAAACACTCATTTCATTTGTGAGTTTCATTTTCACTGGCAGACCTTTGGGATGCTGACCAATGAATCAGTCATGCGTGTTTTTACCTTCTAATGTAGCAAATTACTTTTCATTAAATGAAAATATTCAGGCAGTGTGAAAAAAGTCCCTATGACATAACTAATGCAGCATTTTTTACAAGTATAAAACAAATATCATAACACAAATTCATCCTTGTAGACCCACACTACTGTTAAAATTTTTCGGGTGAGATTTTTTTATTTAATGAATACTTTTGTTCAGCAAGAATGCATTAAATTGATTAAAAGTGACAGTAAAGACATTTACATTGTTACAAAAATTTCTATTTGAAATAAAAAAATCAGCTTTGCCATCAATTACATTTGAAAATGTAATAAAATAGAAAATAATATTAAATTGAAATTAATATTTCATATAACTTTTTTTTGTATTTCTGACCTCAAACCTTTGAACAGTAGTGTATAAAAATAGCATTTACTAAAAAAAAATCTCTTTGAAGACCTGAAAATCTGAAGGCCAAGTGCAATGTATTTGTTAATTATTTATTTTTCTCTCTCTTTCTATTTGTGACAGGCTTTTTCTCAATAGTGTGGTTTCTGCTGTCCTGGGGATAATAACTTCAATAATCAAACTAACCTAAAATCGATGGGGGACGATGACGTTGTGTTTTTATCTGGTCCTTGTTCCTGGTCCACTTGCTATTCCATAACTTCCATTTCATCATCAGCTTTAGTAAAATGACCTGATAGCTTGGAATTTTACTGAGTAACTCATGTTTTCAATCCCTAATGGTAATGAATGGAATTTACGACAAAACTCCACTAAATAACAGCGGTAATAAGTGGGGGGCGTGGTGGATCTTTGGTGATCAGCGCTACCGATGGCAAGTCAGTCTACTCCACAGCCAATCACGGGCCCCCTTCTTGCTCGGGGCCCGGGGCTTCAGCCCCGCCTAGCCCTATTGTTAATGTGGCCTTGCATGTCTGTCAGAGCATCTGACGTTGCAAACTGCTTTAAACTATATGTGTTAACTATATCTTATGAGTTGTTTTAAAACCCTTAATATAAGCATGTCTCATGTTTAGGACAAATTGGATTATGCACTTTCCCCCGCAGCAGCTCACTCTGCGTCCTTTGCTATTATTCAGATGCGCTCGTATCAAACTACTTTATGTTGATATAGGTGGTATTGCCTCATACCATATCGCTTAGAAAAAATATTTTGATATATTGTACGAACTCGATATACCGCCCAGCCCTACGTTACAGGTATTTTACCATGCTCAGATCTTATTTTGGACTTGTTTTTGAAGCTGCGGTTGCTTATTTGTTTCGCGAGAGTTGGCAACAGTGATTTTCATTCAGCCCGTCTGCTGTTTTTGTTTCGTGCAGATGTTTTATGTAGCATAATTTCAAAAAGCTGAAGTCAGACCATTCTGTTTTTGCTTTAAATTATTAAGTTATATAAACTAATTTACATTAAGAACTGTTCATGCTACATGTAGCATCTTTGTTTGGATCGTGATTAAAATTCAGTTTTTTCTGCAACTGTTTCATGCTTTCTGATTCATATAAAGGCAGTGTCAGGAAAAAAACGTGATAAACCGTGAAACTGTCAGAATCCTTAAAAAAACCTGTGATACAGATTTTTGATCAAACCGCCCAGCACTAACTGAAAGACTACTACTTTGCATCTGACAGACTGTATGAGCACGTTTCTGAGTTTACATTGTTTTCTCTGTCTTAACATCTCCTGAATTAATGTTCATTGGTGGATTCTGACATAAGCGAGGAACGCGTATGCTTAGCACTTTCACAGGATATGCTACCCTTTTTGCCTGTCCCTGTACTTAACAATGCATTGTGTCCAATCATGTAACTTTTCAAGCAGCTCTTGTACCCCACAACCTGTAAATAACCAATTACCTGTAAACTTGTTCTTCCCAGGGGGCCTAAATCAAAACACTGTAGTCCATGTAATAAGTGCGTGGCAAGCTTTGACCACCACTGTCGATGGTTGAACAATTGTGTGGGCAGCAGAAATTACTGGTGAGTCGTTTTCACTTCCTCTTCTCTGTCTCTCATTGTGTGGGTCCGTTTTTTTTCTGTCCTTTCGTTTCCATGGACAGACGGATCCTGTGTCAAACTTTTCAGAAAGAGATGTAAAATTCAGATAAAGCATTTTATTTTATAGTCTGTCACCATATCCAGTATGCTGATGTGAAACATTTCATGATTTTATGACGTATGTAATGTTTTCTCAAATGGAAGTCATAAAGCAATCATGAGATCAAGTGCTGTTGCTTAGCATCACATACAAACACTCATTTCATTTGTGAGTTTCATTTTCACTGGCAGACCTTTGGGATGCTGACCAATGAATCAGTCATGCGTGTTTTTACCTTCTAATGTAGCAAATTACTTTTCATTAAATGAAAATATTCAGGCAGTGTGAAAAAAGTCCCTATGACATAACTAATGCAGCATTTTTTACAAGTATAAAACAAATATCATAACACAAATTTTTTTGGCTATTGCTTCAAATATCCCCGTACAACTTAAGACTGGTTTTGTGGTCCAGGGTCACATATTTAAAAATGTAATTTATTCCAGTGATGGCAAAGAATTTTCAGCAGTCTCACATGAATCTTCAGAAATCATTCTAATATGCTGACAAGTAACAATTATTAATATAATCAATGCTGAAAACAGTTGTGCTGCTTAATATTTTTGTGGATACTGTGATAATTTTTTTTTTCAGGACTGCTGAATAGAAAGGTAAAAAGAACAACATTAATTTGAAATAGATTTTTTTGTAACAATGTAAAAGTCTTTACTGTCAATTAAATTGCTGAATAAAAGTATTAATATCTTTAAAAACAAATCTTACTGTATCCTACTTTTGAACAGTAGTGTATGAGAGAGCATTCCCAGCAATGCACACCTCTGTCTTCAAAATTAACCTAGGATTAAACTCAGCTGCCTTGATTTATAGTGCACTCAAATTCTTAATAAGGAACTGAATGCATTAAAAGTAATTGCAGCAAACTTGGAATTACAATATGCTTATATTTGCATATGTCATTACAAATATACTGTATCTTTGAAGTGGGGTTTCTGCAACTATTTACTGCCTGCACCTTTTGAACAGCAGGTGCAGGTGTATTCCTCTGATTCCTGGAATAATCAGCTCAATATCTGCCCAATGCCAACAGTTGGGTTTGAGTGCAGGCTTTGGTGTAGTCTGCATAAGATAGACTGCAGCTTGATTACCATGACAGTCATTCACCGCCACATGCTGCCTACCTTCAGCTCAGGCAGATTTGTGTAGTTTAGTGCCAGCCTTGACAACAAAACACCATAGGCAAGATCAATTGATTTTCTGAAGCCACACTGACAAGGACAGTCATCGTATGATCAGTCTCTGGTTCTGAGGTTATTTGATGCTTTGTTGCTGTTGTTAATTAAACATTAATTAAACATTCTCCTCTGTGGGTTTGTCGGCTTGCAGTAGCTCATGGCTCAAATAAACAATGAGAAGAAATGAAATAAACAATAAAGAAATATAAACGTAAAATAAAGAAGATAGACATTTAAATTATGTATACTACATTGAGCCCTGTTATGTACACGTGACATCTCACTTTGTGCCACAAGGGGGCATTCCAAGAAAATCCAGAGGCAAAAGAACTTGGTTTCACTTTCCAACCTGTTTTTGAGATCAAACAAGAAATAAACATCCACATATATACTTTATAATAGGCAAGTTTTTGCCTAATGATATGAATAATATGTACAATAAAAAATATGTAGATATGGTTCCTATCCTGAATGACATTATAAATGATGTGATGTGTATGGGCGATATGGCAGTAGACATTTTGTATCAGACACTGTCTCATTCTCTCCTTTAGTGTGGAACAAACTTAGCACATATGAGTATATTGTGCTACAGCGGCATCGGCAAGAGGCCAAAGATTCCAGAAAGCCCCTTCCAGAGCATGAATCTGGGGTTCCCACGATTAATCTAATCAAGGTAAAACAGACAAACAAACATATATTTTCAGCACAGCTAAAGATGGTTATGTGCATTTTTTTGATGGACAATGTCTATACTGTACATTTTTGGTTTGTTCAAAATAACAAAAAGATAATATATTTTTTTCCACTCACATAAACTTGCAAATGTATCAATTAATTAGCTGATTAATGTCACCATTTTGTTGCCAGTCCATTGAAAACAATGCAGGCTCTCAACAGATCTGTATTTCAGCTTGTTATTTTTATGTAATTATATATTAGTAATTGGAGCATACATGAAATGCACAGGTGCAGGAGACACGCTGACGCATGGTTAAATTATTCTATGCTATTAATTCTATAAGAATTTTGTGGAAATGCCCGTTTTTTTTTTTATCTAAATATACTCGTTGACAATTTTGGGGTCAGTAGATTTTTTAAAAATTATTTTATTCTGCAAGGATGCATTAAATTGAGCTGAAGTGACAGTAAAGAGATTTACACTGTTACAAAAAAAAAATCTATTTTGAGTAAATGCTGTTCTTTTAAACTTTCTATTCATCACTGAGTCCTGAAAAAAAATGTATCATGGTTTCCACAAAAACATTAAGCAGCACATCAGTTTTCAACATTGATAATAATAAGAAATGTTTCTTGAGCAGCAAATCAGCGTATTAGGGTGTTTTCTGAATGATCGTGTGACACTGAAGACTGGAGTAATGGTTGCTGAAAATTCAGCTTTGCAATCACAGGAATAAATTACATTTTAAAATGCATTAAAATAGTACAATTATTTTAAACTGTGTTAATAGTTTACAACATTTCTGACTTTACTGTATTTTTAATCAAATAAATGCAGCCTTAGTGAGCATAAGGACATTCTTTCAAAAACATAAAAAAATCTTACTAACCCCAAACTTTTAAAAGGTAGTGTATGTATTTAGATATGGCCATGACTTCACACTTCCAACTTTGTTTTATAGTGATTTAGGTTTTTGAGCCTTTAAAAAAATACATATCTGTTCACAAATCTATCAGATTCCCCTTGAAGGCTTATGTACTGAATATGAATACTCAAAAAACAGAGCAAGTGTCCACATACATAATCATCAGGGTGGCTAGCTCATGGCAACCTAGTTGTTGTAACAACCAGGTTGTTAAAACAACCTAGTGTGAGGATGAAATCATCTGTCCAGTTGCTTCTCGGAGCAATTAACACATTCCCAGGAAAATGTCTCCACCAGGCTACTGCCAAATCCTCCCATGGGCGGTACGTTGAGCTCACACTGAACTATAGGAAATGACCTCACACCATGAGTTCACTTCCTGCCACAGAGCACATGGTTTGTGTTCTGAGGACAATGTGAATCTGCCTTGATGGACCTTTAGCACTGTGCTTTAAAAATAAGGCTGTAAGCAGGCATGACAGTAACATTTTACACTTTGACCGTATAATAATTTTTGACAATCTAATAAATACAATCAATTAAATACTGTCCTTTTGAACTTTCTATTTATAAAAGAAATCTTGAAAAAATGTATCCGTTTAATATTAAGCAGCACAACTGTTTTCAACATTGATAATAAAAATACATACGTGTTTGAACAACAAATCAACACAGAATGATTTCTGAAGTGCCATGTGACACTGAAGACTGGAGTAATTGCTGATGAAAATTCAGCTTTGCCATCACAGAAATAAATGGTTATTTTAAACTATAATAATATTTTAAAGTATAAATAAATGCAGCCTTGGTGAGCATAAGCATATTTTAGACTTTAAGTTTAACCCCAAACTTTTGAACAGAAGTGAACATATTAAAATGAAGTATGTAACATACAATATACTTTCACAATTCTAAACGTATGCTATTTTGCAAAAATCTCTTACCTAGAGAGGCTGGGATTTTAGTTAGTTTTTTCCAGAAGGGCTATGTAAGTTGACCCCAGCCTTAACTCAGTAGTACACCTCATGAGAGCGCTTGAGAGGTGTGCATGTGACTATGCTGTTCTTTAAGAACTGTTTGCTTTGGCTCACTGTGTAGATTGTTGTGTTGGGCAGGGCTGGCATTTCACTAATTTCATGTTACCACATACACAAGCACACAAGTGCCATCAGTACCTCACACCCCTAAGACACAAATTTGCTCACACATACTCTTAGATTCTACACTTCTGTTCACAAAAAAAAAAAAAACATATCCATCCATATGCACATACAGTATATACCTATTGTGGATATATTGGATGATGATGGTTGTGTTGCTAAAATAAATAAGTCCTAGCATATAAAGAACTGAAGATTTGATCACAGTTTATTTATTGAATAAAACAGCTGGTGGCATTATATTCAGCTAGTTTGAGCAAATGTAATATGGGTAAATTATTTTTGTCAGTGATTTTTTTTAAGGTTGTACATCATGGTGTTACTTTGAAGGTCATTCAGTATCTAATGTGGATCATATAATGCTTTGTTTATAATGCAACATACATGTTTCATGTAGGACCACTACTCCTTTTCGAAGCGATTGTAATGTATCTCTGATATGCCTGTTTTCTCTCTCACCATAATTTACTTTCCATCATTGTTTTGCTGCAGCAGCAGGTCAGTTATGGCGGGACTCTCGGCTACACCAACCCTGAGATGGAGGTAGAGGATCCAACCGCCATGAGCTCCCAAGAAGGATCTGCGTGAGTTTTGCCAGCTAGATTAATAAAACGATAGCATACTTAAACATATAACGTGGTCAATGACTCAAGTTATGTTATGTACATTACTGTGCAAAATTTGGGGTACGTTTTTTCTTTTTTTTTTTCCAGCAAGGATGCATTAAAGGGGCCATGAACTGCATTTTTTTATTATTATTTTGTAAAATAAAATTTTGTAAAAAAAACAGATTTTAATAAAAAAAGAAAGAAAAGTAAGCGTAGAGCCCTGGGAAAACAATCACCCATTCACACAAGACTTGGCTTTCTCTCCCCTTAATCCTGCCTACATTAATGTCTACAGTCCAGCCAAATCAACGTTACTCTGCATATTTTGTTCTAATAGTGGCTTAAGGGGCTGACTGATTCCTTTACAGTGATCCAAAAAATACAGATAATCTAATTTATTCTGTTGGGCAATTATGGTATCATGACAACCCTTTGAGAACTCAGCTGGTAGGGAAGAAAGTATACTAATGCTTTTTGTGGGGCAGTTAAAATGTGAGCTACACTCTTAAAAAAAAAAGGTTCTTCAGCGGTTCTTTGGAGTGGTTAAGGTGCTATATAGCACCACTACCATATAAAGAACCTGTTAAGCCCCTGTATGGTTCTTCAGCGGTTCTTTGGAGTCGGTGAGGTGCTATATAGCACCACTACCGTAAAACCTGTAAGCCCTTGTATAGTTTTTTAAAGGTTCTTTAACTCTCTCTTAGTCTCTTAGTTTAGTTGGGGAAAGGGTTAAAACAACATTAAAATACAGTCTATTTCTTGAAGATATAATTTTTTTTTGTCCCCAAGGCCCCCGTAAGGAAATATTCCAGGGCCCCCACATGAGACCAGCATCAGTTTCAGATTAAATGTTTTTTTACTTATTTGATTTTTATATCTGGAGGGACTGGTCCATTAGTTCCTTATACATCAGTATGCATTTTACAATAATCCATATTTTTCTAAGGTTTTTGTTTAATTGAGAAAGCCCGGTGAACCGAGTGTTTGTTTAATTTTTACCTTTTCAGGCTCCTAACTGGAGCAGTTCTGCAGAAGCAGTTACTGAGGCCTGTTTTGCTCATGTGTCATATTACTCAAAATGAAACAGTGAGCATTAACAGTATTTCATAACAGCGATTGCAAAACAGGCTTTCATACTATTTTACATGTCATAGGGGCAGAATTGTTTCCCATGGCATTTCAATTTCCAGGTTATTATTTTACATTAAAGGCCTCGCTCGTAAATTGTCTATTCAGTAACAGACATTAGTTGTCTTCATTAAAAAAAGTAATGAAATTATGAATATGAAGTTCACACACGTTGTATGTGAGATTATAATAGTCTGTACAATAAAAATGACTGCTAGTAAGCTAAGATATAAGCCTGTTATTTCTATTCTGATTACTACTGTATTCTAAACTTCTTGTTAGCTGGAGTGGCTGGGACAGGTTTGATCAATCTGTGTTTCAGGAAGTGTTGATATGATTGCATGTGAACATCAGCCAGCAGTGGCAAAGTGGTACTGTGATGTCAGACTGACAGTCATGCTGGGTGATGAGTGATTCCATAGAATTTCCAAAGTTTTGGAACGGCTTGTCATTGCATTATGTTATGTGGCTCTTGGAACTTTTAGCAATCATACATAGCAAATGATCTTCGAAGACAGTGGATGTATCTTTTTTTGAAGAAATGTTGTCTATGGTATAACATCTGAAGTAAATAAGTGAATGTAAAATTGTTGTTTGGTCATTTGTGCACAAGCTTTGAGTAATGGGCGTCTCTCCGCAGGCGTTATGGCAACGGCCGGGTCAGAGGCTCGTCTGAGCACTTGGGTGAAGAAGAGCTCCTCCCTGCTGTCCTAACAGAGAACAAAGCATCTCCTCACCCTCACAAACACACACAGGTGTGACACATTATCACACACAACACAACCTGCAGACACACAACAAGTTAATATCAAACAAATTTATATTCATTTTAGGGTCTAATTATACAACCAGTGGCCTGTACACTCTACTTAAGTTGCAACATCTGTCTGCCTCATTATGTGGTAAAACAATTTCATTTATTTCCATAGAAAAAAAAGAGGAAAGTGCGCAAACTTGCAGCCGAGGTAAACAGTGACAGGTCCATTGACACCGGCACCACCAAAGGCATGCCAAAGACTTCTGCTGAGCAGGGTAAGACAAACGTACACAATCAACTTGTGTCTATAATATCTCTTTGATTTACACTACTGTTCAAAGTTTGAGGTCGATAAGATGTTTTTTTTTTTTATGTTCTTGAAAGAAGCGTGTTATGCTCGCCAAGGCTGAAACGTCAAAAGAACAACTTTTGTTTGAAATAGTAATGTTTTGTAACAGTGTAAGTCTTTACTGTCACTTACTGACCCCAAACGTTTGAATAGTAGTGAACATCTATTAATTTAGCAGACACTTTTATCTAAAGCAATTTACAAAATGTGGAATACAACAGTGATTCATTCTAGGAGGCTGAAGATCAGAGGAGTACAGGCCAGAATAGAGATGAAAGTAAGAAAGAATAAAAAAGTGCCTGGACGTATATAAATAAAACACCGATAGTATACATTTGTTCATTATGCAATTATTAGTGCATGTGTTTTATGTATTAGTGCAAGTGCCTACAATTTTATGTTTATGTTTACAAACAGATAAAAAGTACAGTGCTGCAACATATTAGCAGCATATCACGTACTGAACATGAGAACTAAGATAGAACGTAGACTAATCCTAACAGTGCGTCACTGGTTTAGGAGATTAGTAAGTTATGGAAGACGTTGCTTATAATATTAAACAGTGTGGTAGATCTGAATCACTGAACAACACCCTGTTTGCTTTAGACGGGAGAATAGCACTAAGAAGAATAAAAAACCTGCTAATAGAGCAGTTGTCTTTACCTGATTTATAACTTTTATTTTAGCTTGTGTTGCATTGTTAGTTGTAATTACAGTGTTTGATTAGTTCTGTGCTCCTAAACTACCTGTGTGCCTTGTTCAAATATTTGATCTAGGAACTATTGAAGCTTATTTCTGCTACATAAAACATAAAACATCCATTAGTAAATCATAATTATGACATTAAAAGTCATAATTCTGACATTAAAAATTATAATGACTAAATTTAAAATATGACAGACATTGAGATTAAAAGTCATATGAGTCATAGTTACGAATATTTGTCATAATTTTAAATGTATCTCATAATTATGACAGTAGAAATTATCAGAGTTATAAAAGTCATAATTATGAGAAGTTTCAACTTTTTATATGACAGTTTGCCATCATTTAGAATTTGTATAATAATTCTGACATAAAGTAGAAGTTAGGAGATAAAAAGGGACAGTAGGAATTATGAGAGTCATAATTATGAGATAAATTTCTGCTTTTTATAATGACAGTTTGTCATAATTTCGACTTTTTATAATATATCATTATGATTTTTATGTCATAATAATAATTTACCAAAGCTTGTTTTTTTCTTAGGTTGCAGAAATGAGATTCCATAAGCTGTTTTTATTCACACAAGTTTAGCTGTTTGAGTTTAGCATGTAGTTTCCCAGTATAATCTTGTAAAAATGTAAAATTGAATCGATTCTGAAATAATTGTAGCAAATGCTTAAAAACAAATCCTTGTGGTGTTTTTCAGTGGTCTTGATATTGGTGAATCAGAGTGTGAGTTACCTTTGTGATTTGTGTCTGCGCTTTACACAAATAGAGTCCTCTGTAGCTGCCTCCACTGTGTCCTCCTCTATTGGTCAACGCTTACCCTTCCCAGCATTCCCCCTGCGGTCCTCCCTCCCCCCTCTTGCACCCGTACAAGCCGCTGGTCCCCCTGCTGAGTATCATTCTGACTCTGCAGAATCTCTGGAGGAGATCCCTGTAGCAATGGCACGGCTTGGCAGCGCAGCCCTGGCTGGCACTACTAATGCTGCTATGTCTGCCAGCAGCTATTCCTCTTCTCTCCAGTGTGCTTTGCCTTCCTCAGCAGCTGGACAAGCTTTACCCTCCCCTCAGCCCAGGACCAAGAGGAAAGCAGCCGTTCGTAAAGCTGCAGAGCAGAGGTTTGAGATGGTATCCCATAATCCGTCTATGTTCGTGAGTCGAGAATGCGGAGAGCCTGCCATGCCCCTAGAGGGCATTATCACAGAGGAAAGTCCCCGTGTGGCCAAACGCAAACAGACAGGCACAAAGAGAAATATGGAGGACACTAAACCCAGCACCAGTGTAAGAACCCTGCTTGCATAATGACTGCTACAGAGACGCATCACCACTAGTCAGGACTCATGGGGCACGTGGTCGGCCTTGTTTCTCAGTTAAAAAGCTTGAGCTGCTTTAGTAAGATGAGATAAAAACTGATGTAGCACTCAGAACCTGATGCAACCTATGCAAAACACCACTGAATGTCAGCAATGAGAATTTGTTGTCTGACCTTTTGCTGGACAAAACATCTAATGCTGGTTGTCGTTGGTCAAAGTTGCATTTAGATATGTTTGACAGCGGGTCAACAGATTCACTTATATATATTTATTCATGAAATTGTTGATTGTGGATTGAAGCCTTGGACTTGAGCCCTCAACTCATTATGAATTTTTTGAGGAATCCACGACACTATATAAATTATAAACTAACTTATTTAGCCTTTCATTAATTCCAGTACCTTTCACTATGACTTTGCTGAAGCATTGCACAAATATGTTTTTTTTTTTAATACTTAATGCAGTGCTGCCCTTCTTATCTATTTATTTATATACATTAAATGCCAAAGTTTTCGTTTTCTGTGATGAATCACACGTCCACTGATTTTCATTTTCAGGTTGTTGTTTTTTTTTGTCCATATCTGTACATTTTTGTATTTAGTTACCTATTTAAAATTATTGTTGTAATTAATTGTTGCATTTCCTTTTTGTTGTTTTTATAAGCTTTTAAATGTCTGGTTGTTTGAATCGGGTCCAGTTTTCTTTGGGTGAACTTGAGTTACAGTATGTACTATCGAGTGCACTTTTAGAGGTATTCTACTCAAGTGCTTTAGTCACTTTCTAAATAAACATCTTTTATTAAGCAGTGCCACATGATGTCGGCCCTTATGAATGAAGTCCACTCCCTTCGTCTCAAATGCTGCTCAGACAACCCAGTTACACAGTTGTTTATCTATGAACCGAAACATTCTTGGTACATGATGTTTTGGGTAGAGGGAGTGGCTGAATGATGGCCTGATGGGGAAGCAATATGAAAATGTTTATTATTATTATTATTATTATTTTTAATAAAATTGTATTCCTACACACTTTTTTTTACACGTTTTTTTTAACACGTTATCAATGTTTTAATATCATCTGTTATTTTCAGGGTTTTTTATGTGTTATATCATCTAAAGAATGAGTGATATATTTTTGTAAATTTCTCTCAAAACCATCTTTAATAAATATTAAACTGCAAAAGACTCCTGCAATGTTAGGATTATTAAAGGGGTGGGCAAAAATTCTAATTTGAAATCTAGCCACTCATTCTTTAATAAATACAGTAAACAGGAAATGACTCTCAGGCTATGTTTGTTTGGAAATTAATACTATTTTACTGCATATAATTTAAATGAAATTTCATTCATTTCAGTGCTGTGTAAAAATATACTTTATAAGTATGATCATGATATGTTATAAATAACAGTTTGTTCAGTCATCAAATGGAAATGGAACAAAATCAAGTGTGTATCCCACAATACATTCCACACAGTGTGCAGGATTTTGTACATTTAGATCATCTGGATTTTCCAGGCATGTGGAAAATGTGCAAATGATGTGCAGTATATATACTGCAGATACATTATGAATAATACAATAGTATGCCATTCTGAACACAGCCAGAGTTATCATTGCCATTCCTGTACCTTTTATCTTTTTAACCTCAATTTCTCCTCCTCAAGAAAAAGAGCATGTGTAGCATTGCATGATTGTTGCGCTGTTTTTGTGTCCTGAATCGATAGTAGACATTTTTCCAAGTACATTTCCTTTAAAGGTTCTACAGTCCGTACTAGTGTACACTTCAATTCATTCAGAATCCAAAGCAAAAATAGTCACGGGTATCTATAGCAACACTTCAGTAATACAAATACATGACAACTTGACAACCCAAATATCCAATATTCACATCTAGTGCAAATACACATGCTCTAAGAAGAATGTAAGTACATTTTTGACTCTGTAATTGTGTAGAACTGTAGTGACAAAGAGCTTTCAGTAGCATAGACCTGCACACAATCATGTCACCCAAACACCTGCTGCAGGTCCTAGTATATTTTAATACTACATATTTATGGGCTTATCAGTTGAGAACACTACTACTGTTCTCTGCCAGGTCAGAAAGTTGACAGAAAGCCTGTTGTCAAGGCCATAATGTAGGCAAAAACAATATTAGGTAATGGTCACACGTGGAGTTGAGGAAAAGTCTTTTTAGACTCCAATGATTAAGATGAAAACTTGCTCAATATGGCTGAATAGAGAGAGACATGTGACAGAATTTGTCAGATGTTTCTTGAGTCACAATATCCACTAAATAAGAGTGTGGTTAACCACTGAAGTTTATTTACCAACAACTGAAGTATGATATCATTGGCAGTTACACTTGTGATTTCCTTGCCTTAAGAATGGGGCTATTGTTTTGGTTTTGAAAATAGCACTGACAAGATGGATCCTGTTCCCTGATCAGCTGTATAAAATCTTTCAGACTCTCCTTCCTCTCCTGCTTTCAAAGATCAGTATCACGTTCTGCTCCTACATCCATTTAATCTCAAACTACTATAAAACTGTGCTGCCTATTCCGCTTTTAAAATCATTCATAGGTATATTAACATTTTCATAGGTATATTCTATAAGCCTTTAAAATGTGTTTAGAAATTTCTTTCGAAAAAAGGCTAGTTGCGATTTCTGTTTGGTCTTGGATATGGTCCTTCTAAAACCCAGGTGGCTGTTTCTGCAGTGCTGTGTACCCAGAGTAACCATGGCATCAGGACACTATAACATGGTAACACTGACAGTCAGAGTTGCTCTGCTGAAGAGAGGCATGCAGCAAAACTTGTGACAGGACTCACAGTGACAGCAGCAGCATTACTGACAGAAAGCTTTTGGCTGGAGCCAGGAGCACACTGCACGCAATTATTCACCACAGATGAAGAGCTCAGTTTTCAGAATTCACCTTGGCTGATGTATAACGTGTTCAAACTATTGTTGGTTGAACAGATTTATAGACCGTTCTGATCATCATAGTCAAACAAAGGCCTTATTGTGACATGCATTATGACTTCTCATAAATTATACTGTGCGCACTGAAGGGAATTTTGCTTTGTCAGTATGGGATAGTGAGATCAAGGGATTTGATATTCAAAGCTCCACCCATGTTAGTTTTTTTTCTCTCCATCCTACAACAAGCAGGCCTATCAAACTTTACCCTCACACATACTGTACACTAGCATAGTAATACATATAAAATGCCAAATGTAAAGTATATTATTGTACAGCTCTATACATAAAGTTAGATATTTAAGTTTATCCTACTTTATTCGCATACATACATACAGTATACTCACATAAAGTGATATATAGCAAAATCTCGGCTGTGTGATTGTTTATATCATGGCAAAATGTAAATTATATTATCACCCAGCAATATTTTTAAGTTTTTCGAGTGTTTCAAGATGGATATAAATTTACCCGCACACATACAGTACTCGCATAAAGTGATATAGCAAATCTCAACTGCTTGATTGTTTATATCGTTGCAGAATGTACACTATATTATTGCCCAGCTCTAATCTGCTAAATGCGACTATAAGGCATGAAGATAGGCTATTATAAACTTTAACATCATGATTCTCTCTAAAGATGCTTTGAAACAATGTGTTTTGTGAAAAGTGCTATACAAACAAAATATTGACAGCCAGCTATGTTATTATCATGATTTTAGTCCTGATTGATTGATTTTAGCACGACAATTAATGGATGTTGTACTGTAGACAAAAGCCCAAAATCAGGCAAATCGGTGTTCGCTTGTGAGTGACCATCTCTATGTTTAAATGATCAAGGACATGATCTGAGAGAACTGATGCGATGCCGATGCGGCAATGCCTGAGAGATATTTAATAAGCTAAATATCTAGACCTGCCTACAATCCAAGTCTTGTAGTGTGAAATGTGTTTGACTGGAGCTGACATTGGCAAAGACAAACAGCTGTTTAGTGTGAAAAGACAATAAATCTGACAACTTTGGAAGTCATGTAGTGGACAGCATTAGTACCGTTCATAATTTACCTTTGCTCTGAACAGGTTTACTTCAATTCAGTACAGCAGATAAATAAGCTGTGGCCTCGATATGCAGCTGAGGTAGGATTGACGGGCAAAGATTGGTTAAACAGAACTGTGTGTCCTTTCACTTATCAGTGTCTCTCAATCTGTTTCATTGATTTCCAGCGGTGATCTCATCATCTATAGTCCTTAACCAGAAAAAAGGGAAAGAAAATAAGCTATGCTAGCTGCAATAGTCTCTATGACAACAGTTAAAACAAAAGCTGAAATATGAAGTGAGTGTTTGATGCCTTTAGTTTGACCCTCCAGTGGCTCTCACACATCTTTCCCACCGCTTGTGTTCATTAAATCACAGAATTGTTGTGGACACCAGTGGTCACTGCTGGACAGATGCAGTACTATATTTTCCAATGGTCACACATGCAGATAGGCTTCGAAAACACTTTACACACTTCATATTCTGTCACATGCAAAAACAAGCTACCTCAATGAACGGTGCTTGGTGGAGAGTTGATTCTTTCAATTATACATCAAACATGCAAAGACACCAACCAACAGCTCCAGACCTTTTGTTCTGAGGTGCACATCTGTTTCCTGTTGGCCATGGGTTTCTCTACTTTCACAGTGCTAAATGAGCTGAAAATGAAGAAACATTAGTTTGCATAGAAAAGCAGCTAAGTAAATGAAGCAAATGAGAAAAGGAAGAGTATGTTGTGATATTTTTGGATTGCAAAATCCAAATCGATGATGCATACTGCATTAAAACCCCCTCTGACTGGTCAGCTGTCATGTTTTTAATTTGTGAGTATAAAACTGATTTGTTGCATGCTTAAATAATATGGGTGATAAAGAGGTGCTGAGAGTGAGAGGGTAAAACAGGATATGAACTGAAACTCTGTGGTAAATGCATGTCATGTCCCGTCTGATGCGCTGAAATGCTGTAGTGCAAGAATTCAGTTTGTTTGACATGTTGTGCACTGTAAATATCACACTATGGTAGATACTGGACCGTTCACTTTCTGCACGCCATTTTGCAGTGTGAAGTTTGATATCACAACAAAGTGTTTCCATGACAACTCGCATACACCCACTAAACATGTCAATCATCAAAAGGTCATAGAGTTACAGTGTGTGTCTTAGCCACTGAATGTGTAACAGACATCACTCAACACTTTATTGAAACATAAAAGTTTAACAGGGCTATGAGTGCATGTCACACATCTGTAGGGACAAAATAATTTATTTTTACAGAAAGAAATAATCCAATCCAGTATGTTTACATATTAAATGATAATGTCTATAACAGTGTGCGATCCTGATATATATATACATATATATATATACACATTTCAGCATGTGAACGTTTTTCAGGGTAGCGTAGGATGGATGGGTGTTGTTTATTGGCTATGCATTTAAAGGGGTCATATGATGCGATTTCAATTTTTTCTTTCTCTTTGGAGTGTTACAAGCTCTTGGTGCATAAAATATTGTGGATGAGCTCTTGTTCTCAAAGCTAAAATACAAAAATAATGCATGCCTTTCTCAGTCTCTTAAATGTGACATGAATGCAGTGGCTTTCCACTTTCAAAGGGGGGTGCCACTAAAAAAAAAAAAAAAAATGATTGACCCGAAGGCCCCCCATTTTCCAACACCATATTCAAAGGCCCCTCATATTGGACAAGTTACTCTGGTATTTCTGCTGTATTTATGATAAAGCTGCTTGCTTTCAAAAAATAAAATAAAATAAAATTCTTAACAGTCATTGCGAGTGTTGCTATATTAAAATAATTAACCACAAATAATTTTGAGATAACAGAAGATTCAAGATTCTGATTCGGTATGATCTTCAATAAAAACAGTTGTTATTAGGGGAAAATTTGTGTGTTGTTGCATTTGAATCAAGTTAAGTTTCTTTTTAATATAATTAGGTAATTTTAAGTCATCTTGTGACCCATTTGGAAGTTTGCTGAGGGCCCACTGGGGGGCCTAATGAGAACAACTGTTCTAAATAAATACATATCTACTGATTGTCCTTTATAAAAACATAAATAAAATGAAGACACTTGATATTTCAACGTTTTAATGCTGACAAAGGTATTCTTAGTTTTAATGGCTTTTCAAACGCGAGTTTTGGGCAGTAGAGTAGCATTTGTTGTTTGTGATTTCTCTGATCACAAATGCAGACAGAGTTTTATGTTTACGCGGCGTGATGTAATGCAACGCAACGCAAAAAAATGTGTGTGTTGTTGCATTTGAATCAAGTTAAGTTTCTTTTTAATATAATTAGGTAATTTTAAGTCATCTTGTGACCCATTTGGAAGTTTGCTGAGGGCCCACTGGGGGGCCTAATGAGAACAACTGTTCTAAATAACTACATATCTACTGATTGTCCTTTATAAAAACATAAATAAAATGAAGACACTTGATATTTCAACGTTTTAATGCTGACAAAGGTATTCTTAGTTTTAATGGCTTTGATCCTAGTTGAACACAATGTCTTGTTCCCTTCCTCTTAAACACACACCACACACCCAATGTTTTGTCGTGGTATGTAGTTTTCCTTTCCCATAGCAAGTCTCAATGCTGTTTCTGGTGGAGGCACCTGTAATGTAATCTGGTCAAGTGAGTGATGAAAGATCATTTCATTAGATCACTATTTGGAATGGCAACACTCCAAAGTTTCTTAAAGAGAGCTTCTTAAAGTACACGCATACATAAACACTCAAAAAATTTGCTCAGCCACAATATATTTGCTGAACCTAGGAAACAGTACACGTGACCTAACTGTACTACCAAGAAGAGGATAAATGCTGTGCTGTTGAGCTGTGAAAGAGCACAACCTTATAAAGTTCAGCATTCTAGCATTAGATGCTGATTGTCATGATACTCCAACACTCAAAAAACACCCAAAATAAACAAATAAATATTTAGATTATGCATTTATTTTTTTATACACTTGATCATATTTTATATTTAACAATATTATAATTGGTTTATTTTTTTAATAATTTTAATAAGTATTTTTTTAATAAATCTAGCATATTTATTGAAATTATTGTATTATATTGTAAAGTCATGCAGCGATGAGATGCCAAGTGGCACAGCTGTGGAAAGATGAACGAAGAGGCATTTAAACAAACTTCTCTGTTAAAAAATCTGAATGTAAAGCAAATCATACAGAGCAAAACAGTACATTTTTCAGCACCATGATTCAGCAAGTGAACAAAAGTGTTCTTTGTGTAAGGAGTTAAAGTTAAAGTTTGGCGAACAGTTTGTTCGAAGGGCAATTTGATCGGTCTAATGTGCCATAATACAACTGGCAATGCAAATGCTCCATCACAATTCTGTATATATGAGCCTGAATTATTCAGTTCATTTAAACTGTTGTTATATGTTATTGGTGTCAAATTTAACTTGCTCCAAATATTTGTTATGCATTTTTTTTGATCGATGGTTGAAATATATTGTACTGGTACAAACTGTTTAAAAGGCTCATATATATATTTTGATCCTGCATGTTGTATCACTCATAAAAAGTAATTCCATATGGCAAAAATGGTTTAAAACATAAATAAATACGTCCAAACAAAATTAAAAATACATCTCCTATGGAAATCTCGGCTCTGCTCTAACACATTTTTCTCCAGGCTGTTGCTAAATCGTAATTCTGTTTTTTATATGTCCTGTTCTTCGGACAACAAGAGGAAAGAGACAGTGAGGGCAACCATGGAACATATTAACTCTCAGTGGATGAAGGAGAGGTGCCAAACGAGAAAAAGACAGAAAGAGCAGAGATAGAATCAGCAAAAAAGACCTCTCTGGCCATCTTCAGAATGGCCCTCTGTGAGATTCATCTGCACCTGAGAGAAACTACACGGAAAAGATAATGAAGAGTGAGTTATTGCAAATTAACCCCAACAGGCCAATCATATCACTCTGAAGGGTTTATTTTAAAATAATGGCCGCCCGACTGTATATTATTTCTACTTATAACACGGTTACCTAAATAAATACTTGGACATAAAATAGTGGTTTGAGGTTTAATTATTTTATTAGCTTAAATAGAGACAGAACATGACCGTTTCCCAGAACGGTAATCATTCAAAAATATTTGAATGCTTAATGCTTCTATTGACCAAAAGAAATCAAGCATGCCAGAGCGTTTAGAGCAGCATGCAATGAAAATCCATTTCTTTTCTAAATGCATGTTATTATCGGTGCATATATTTCATTTTTTAATTTTGCTGGTAAAATGCCTGGTGATTTATGTCAGGTTTCACCAATCATTTAGTTTGCTTAAACCCAGCCTCTACAATTGACTGAAAGCTTGCAACAATTGAGCCGCCTTTATTTATATATCAGTTTTACAAATGACATTGTTCCTGAATGTCCTTAAAGGGGTCATATGATGTTGCTAAAAAGAACATTATTTTTTTGCCAGATTTGGCTTGAGCACTTCTGGGGACCAATCTTGTTCCAAAGTGTAGCTAAGTATGGACACACACACAGGCAGTATTGGATGTGCATTCTCACACATGCATACACATGTAGTGCTGGATGAATTGCATTCCTCGCTCTCTTCTTACACATTCACACCATTGAATGAGTAGCATTTACATACAAACACTGCACGGCAAAACAGAAGATAAACACAAACCATACATAAAACACAAGTGCCACACCCTGGACAGTGTTAAAGTCTTTTTCTGGCTTCTCTATGTTGCTGTGCTCAAGCCTCCAATTCACCCCGACTGATAAATGACCCTGGTCACAACAACTCGAGTAGGCTCTCTTTCTTTCTTTCTTTCTTTCTTTCTTTCTTTCTCTCTCTCTTTCACACACACTCTCTCTTTTATTGCCATCCCTCCATGTTAAACAGGACGTCTCCATGGATACAGGAATAAACAGATGATAACAAGCCCTCAGCCTTTAAAGCCCATTTCAGAAGGGAGTAACAGGAGAGACAGAGAAAGAGAGAGAGAGAGCAGGACAGGATAGAAGTTGTGCAGACCCGGGAGTGTGTGTGCGTGTGTGGATTGCCAGCAGCTGGAAGTCAGTAGCACAGGTAAGTGCGATTTCACTGATACTAATGTGACAGAATGTCTTCATATACAAATACACTCTTGTAAACATGCATACATGTACTTGTCTTATTCGTTATATGCATGCACACATAACATCATATAGACACATAATACGCCATGCATCAGCAGCTGTGGTTTGCATTATAAAATATGCCTTATATGAGTATGGCTGCACAGTACAATGTGAATTGCTGCACAGTACAATGTGAAACTGACATAACAAACACAAAGTGGTGTTATTTCAAGACAAGATGACATATGCTACTGATTTTGCCCCTAAACTAATTTAAAATTTGCATTCATTGCTATGAGACACTGTGCTATTTATTATTTTCCTTACTTATTACTTATTTTCCCATAAATAAACAGCACAAAAGTCAAACTGGGTACAAAATATCATGTTTTAATTGCAAAAAATAAATTTAAAATGTATGAAATTAAAATTTTATGAATTTAAAACTTAAAAAAATGCTTTTTTTTCAATGGACAGTAGTAACATCTGCAGTGTGACTAAGGGCCATCAATATCCAGAAGATGAAATCATGTTCACTTTGGATAATTACAACTGCCACTGACTAAAATGATTTAGATTGCAATTATTTATAGGCTAAATATACTGCATGATGTTTTCCCAGTGGCAAATTGGCACATAAGGATGCTATTCATATCATAAATGTTGAACAAAACACTACTGACATCATCAGGTTAATTACAGGGTTGCAGTCTGTCTGATCAAGTAAACAGTCATTAGGTTGTCTATAAAACATGTAACGTTTTATAGTTTGTGAAGTGATTATCACATATTAAATCTATTATAGTTGAGTATGAAATACAGAGTAAGTATCAAGAAACATGTTGTGTGGGGAATACAGGTATCCCGCAGGCAGGTTTAGCTAAAAAAATCTCTAGGGCTGAAGCAGATGATTATGATCTGCTCATAAAGTCTTCAGGACGTGCCTTTGTTATTTTGATGTGTCTACTGTTTGTTTGTGTGTTTTGTCTGGATGGGTGGATACATGTCTCTGTTTCCGTCTTTAATACAATGGTTTCCATGGACACTTCCACAAAGTCTTGTCCTGAGTGAGGGGATCTCTTGGGAGGTGGGCAGTGTGTGTTTATGTGGACGACTGCCTTTGCATGTGTGTTAGAAGGGTGAGGCTCACACTCACAATGATGTCTTTATTCAGCCTCCTGTGTGGGAATAACCTCAGCAGCAGCTCACACATGATCCCTCACACACTGTATTAGGGAAATACACAGCATACACATGCAACATGTTAAGCATGATGACTTATAAAATGAGATTACTTCAGTGGTTCAGTGATTGAGGAACTGTTTGACAAACCAGTGATGATTACAACATGGTGCAACAATTTTTGGATTCATTCTCCACAACAAATAGGAAATAACTTGTCTGCATAACTTTTTTTTTTCTTTTTTATTCAGCAAGGTCACATTAAATGAATCAAATCTGACAGAAAAGACATTTATAATATTACCAAAGATTTCTATTTTCAAATAAATGCTCTTCATTTGAACTTCACATTCATCAAAGAATCCTGATCAAATGTATCAGCACAAAAATACTAAGCAGCACGACTGTTTTCAACATTGATTATAATAAGAAATGTTTCTTGAGCAGCAAATCAGCATATTAAAGGGATTTCTGAAAGATCATGCGACACTGGAGACTGGAGTAATGGCTGCTGAAAATTCAGCTTTGCCATCACAGGAATAAATTACATTTTCAAATATATAAATATAGAAAAGAATTATTTTAAACTGTAAAAATATTTCACAATATTACTGTTTTTACTGTATTTTTTTATCAAATAAATGCAGCCTTGCCGAGCATAAGAGACTGTTTGATGTGTGTGAGCTGAGGAGACTTACAGATGGCTGAAGGAGTTGGAGTTGAAGCCAGGGCAAGCCCACCCACTGCTGCTGTACACTCATCACCTCTCCATGAGGCCATCGGCTGCCAAACTTCTGACATCCATCTGAAACATTCCACAATAACTCTGAGACACATCAGACCATCCACATACCTACTCTCGCCTCCATTAACAATGGCTGTACTGTGGAGACACACCAAGAAAGTCTAGAAGTCTAGGCCTCACTTCTGAAATTCCATGTTATCCAAACACATTCACAGATCCATTGAAGTTGCAAGTACAGAGACAATGCATTCTTGTACTTTACATCACTAATGTCAATGTTTATATTTATTTTATGCCTGCATATTGTCCCTGCTGTCACTTTTCTCAGTACAGTATTAATGTTAAAGAAGGTATCACTGAAAGGCTGGAATACACTACTCAACATTTAAAATTGGAACAGATTTTAAAACACTAGGCATCCTACACTTGGCCACTTTGGAGATATTTACAGAGGAAAACTGGGTATCATACACTAGACGACTGAGAATCACATGCTACCAGACTTCCTGTTGTTCAGAACACAACAAAGTCATCGTGCCTCATTGCTAGGAGACGCATGATAAAGAAAACAATGTGTGTTCTAAAATCGGCTCAAAATATCAAACAAAGTTTCTTTAAAGTCGGTGGATTCTGATTGGCTGTTTTATCATTCTTCAGCTGGAAATATCTTTCTGGAATTGATTCCAACGATATTGTTCCTCTGTGTCTTTATTGTTATAGTTGCACTGTGAACATCCCTACTAGAATTAGAATGATTTTTAAAACTTTATCTTTATAGTTAATAAGAGATTTTCATAGTGACAGGACACTTCATCACTATGAGACATGATTTTGTATTTTAGCATTAGGAAGCTGGCTGAGTTCTATTAACAGCACACTAAAAAAAAAAAAAAAAAGCAAAACTACCAAGGAGAGAAAGAGGCTGTCTGAAAATGTTTAGGAAATTCTAACATCGGTGTGTTTTTGTCTGTTGAGCTGTCTCTGAAGTGAATAATTAGCCGTCTGCTGAGTGCTGATAATCACACCATTAGCTCAGTCCTTATGGCCCTTGAATTTACATCAGCTCTGTTGCTCCACACACACCTAATGTGTTACTTTTGGCTGATTCTTTAATTGCCTTTTGAATGGCCTGAATGAATAAAATACCAATGGAAAAGAGGGTGACCTGCTGATGAAGTTTGCCAAAGCTCTGCAACAAGAAGATCATTAGTGAAATATCTCAAAGCCAAAATCACAGGACAATTTAGATAATTCAGATAACTTGGATCAGTCAGAACTGCTAAATCAGAGCGTACGATGTTTTGTTGTCTGGGCTCAACCTTATGCTGTACACGTTATTTGTGTATACTGAATAATACACATCTGAGATTCCTATCAGATAATAATGCAATGTAATCTTTTTTTTTAGAGTGTACCACAGTATTCTGTCTTCTCTTTCATCTTTTTTGTCAAATTAAGGCTTGATCATGCCACTACTGCAGATGTCTTATTTGGACAGTTAATACATATCTTTTTCTTGGGAATTTGTTCCATTAGGTCATAGTCTTACTATTTGTTTGGCAGAATACCCAATATGGCAGAAAGCACAGAAATGGACCAGCTTCTGAGCGCCTTTAAGAAGTTTGCTGTTCATGGTGACACCAAAGCCACTGGAAAGGAGTTGAATGGTAAAAACTGGGCTAAACTGTGCAAAGACTGCAAAGTTATTGACAGCAAGAATGTCACCAGCACTGATGTAGATATTGTCTTCACAAAAGTCAAGTGAGTTTTTCATCATTTTGTGTTCAGAAGGCTATTTAAATCTTTATATGCCTTTTTTTTTTTTACAGTGCATGCAAAATAAACTACATAAAATGTAAAATAAAAAAGTAGATATTGTAAATATTAATATTTTCATAGAAAAAAACTATGTACTGGCAATGTAACAGAGGTGTTGAAAAGGCTATGTTTACCATATTATTCAGAGCAAAGACATCTCGGGTCATAACATATGAGGAGTTCCAGAAAGCTCTAGAAGAATTGGCCCCAAAGAGGTTCAAAATTCAAAGCAAAGAAGAGGCACTGCAGTCTATGCATAAGCTAATTGAGGGCAAAGAACCCGCCAATGTTGGTGTAACGGTAAGCCAACCATTTGAAAACAATAATTTGAGGTATGTTTGCATGAAAAATGTACATTTATATAAATAAATGTAACTATACTGAAATCAGTGTTGCCATTTCAAAACAATAGTGTTATATACTACCAATCAAAACTTTGGGGTCAGTAATACTTTAAAAAAATAATACTAAATTAATATTTTTATTCTGCAAGGATGCATTAAATTAATAATAAGTGATTGATCAGTAAATACATTTATAATGTTACAGATTTCCATTTTCAAATAAATGGTGTTCTTTTTAACTTTCGATTCATCAGAGAATCCTGGAAAATAATCATGGTTTCACTGTTTGTGCTTTCACAAAAATACTAATCAGCATTGACAATAATAAGAAATGTTTCTTGAGTACCAAATCAGCATATTAGAATGATTTCTGATAGACCATGTGACACTGAAGTCTGGCGCAATGGCTGCTGAAACTCAGCTTTGCATCACAGGAATAAATTACAATTTAAAATATTCAAATAGACAAACAGTTATTTAAATATTTATGAATTAATTAAGTAACTGTATTTTTTAATCAAATAAATGCAGCTGTGGCGAGCGTAAGAGACTTCTTTAAAAAAACATTGAATAATCCTAAAGAAAAAAGCAAGAAGACAGAAAGGTTATTGGTGTGCCATTTCATCCTCTTCACTGCAAGTCAATTCTAAGACATCATCCATCCAGTTACTAGGCTGCATCAACTTCTTCCATATAATATCTAAGCCACTAATATCTTTGATGTGACAGAAATACGGGAGTTTATTGCCTGAATATTTAAAATATAAGATGAACTAAGAAAAACCAAGCCCGCCAAGCAGTTGTTGCTCATGAAGCTTCTTCAACACTGCACAATTTGGATGTCTCCTGTATCTAACACATAATTCAGTCCATCTGTAGCTGTAGAGCTCTCTATGAACTCAACTGGATGTGTCAATTGGTTGTGATTAGTGAGACACCTAAAATGAATAGTGTTGGTGGACCTCCAGAAGCAAAATTGAGAAACACTAATAAGTTTCTACTACATCATTCCTCAGTCGGTTCAGCTCTAGAGGGCAGTAACAAATCAAACATTAATAAATCAAACCTGGCAACTAGTTAAAAGTTCAAAAGGAGTTGTAGGAATATGTGATGTATATGTGGAATTCATTCAATGCAGAAAAGGCTCTGCTGAGGCAGGCTGAAAGAGCCTTGTGCAGATCATCTGATTAAATACAAATTTTATTTGGTTTGCTGTAGCACATTTTCTGGGTAATTTCTAGTTCCATTTTTATTATATTTTCCATTTATGATATCACTGTTATTCCTACACACACACACACACATATATATACTGTATATATATTCATTCATTCATATAGTATATTGCTCTCCAGCTTTGACTGATATTGCTATTATTCAATAGTTTTATTAATTTCCTTATTCATTTGTATGTTTTATTTGTTTAACCATTTTAGAAAGTGGCAAAAACTGGCGCAGTGGATCGGTTAACCGACACATCTAAATATACGGGCTCACACAAGGAGCGCTTTGATGAGAGTGGGAAAGGCAAAGGAAAAGGTGGGCGGGAGGAGATTGTGGAAAACACAGGCTACGTAGGGGCCTACAAGAATGCTGGGACTTACGAGGAGAAGACGAAGGCCAATTAAGGCCACACTGTCTCCATGTCAACAAGCTCTGAGCTTCATCTTTATCAGCACTTAGGTCTGGACCAAAGCCGAAATTGAACTTTGACCTGTAAAATCACACAGCCACTATGCAATGTAACACAGGAAGTGTTGTAAATGTTTGTCTTTAAACATATAGTATTACAGTTGGTTTTAATTAGAAAGTTGAAAGAAGGGTAAGAAGGAACTGGTGAGGACTAGTCTCACTCCTTTCGTGCAGACCAGCGTCTTCTGTACAGTATGTAGGATTTCAGGTGAAAATCTCAAAGAGCAAGCATGAAGACAGCTCTTCAAGTGGGGAAACAGATAAGTGGTGTATTTGTTTCAGTTTTTATGTTGTTATTTAATAGCTACAAGAAAGGTGCATCTAAACATCACAATGCTTCAGACAGGGAGAAGCGAAACACAGGAAGCCCTTTAAGAGATTTATTTCTTCCAACATGTACGTAATTGCTGTCACTAAATTCTAACAATATTCATTGCTGAAACTTGTCAAAAATGTCATTCTTCAAAGGATAATGGTAATCCAGCTTTATGTGTGTTTAGCTACACTTCTGTTATTATTTCCAAAAATTCATTGTCATATCTTTGTTTTAGTTAGCTTACTGTGTTACTGAAACTGGAAACTGCCTTTGTATAAACCATTATAAATGACTTTTGGCGTGTTTTATTTTAAGTTTTGTTTTTGTATTTTGGTCTATTTTAAATAACAAATAAAGTACATTAACAACAACTGATGTTGTTAAAAAATCATAATGGAAGTCTCTCGTCTTTCCTGGTTTTGTAAGGTTGAAACCTTTTTTTTTTTTTTACCTTGTTTAGCACTCGGCGCATAAAATGAAGTTCTTTGTACCTGCCTGTGCTTCCTCTCATAAACCTAACAAAAATGTGCCACTGTAAATACGGTAAATCTCCAAAAATAGTAGTTACTACAATTATTATTGCAGTAAAATTGTATTTAAAAAATAATAACGCCAAACACTTACTAACAAAGTCAAAAATACGTTTTCTGAACGTTATTTACTGTCATATTCAGCATTTCACACAGCGTGTGTACGAAGTCTCCCCTGAGGGACAGACAGGACGTCGACGCTGGTCCCTCTGTTTCCATGGCAACCGCACCATAGACAAACACAACAGCCCGGCCCGGCACCTGGCTCCGGCAGCCTTCCCCTGCCCTCTGTGTGTTTATAACCAAACACACTCGTTCATGGCAACGTTTGTTTGGTTCATCTCCTTGGAAGCGTTTAATCAAAAACATCTCGCTCCATTCCAGCTCGAGCCTTTGTAGCTCCTGTGACACGTTGATGAATTCACACAGTGTGTGTACGAAGTCTCCCCTGAGGGACAGACAGGACGTCGACGCTGGTCCCTCTGTTTCCATGGCAACCGCACCATATACAAACACAACAGCCCGGCCCGGCACCTGGCTCCGGCAGCCTTCCCCTGCCCTCTGTGTGTTTGTAACCAAACACACTCGTTCATGGCAACGTTTGTTTGGTTCATCTCCTTGGAAGCGTTTAATCAAAAACATCTCGCTCCATTCCAGCTCGAGCCTTTGTAGCTCCTGTGACACGTTGATGAATGGTATCGCACATATCGCCCTCAGTCAACTTCAGTGCTCGCAGCACGCTGTAATCAACCGGCTGATTAATTGCCTGTTAACATGAGCTGCGGAGCCCGACAGGCTTGACTGGCGCTGTTGATATAATGTGCCGCACATGCAGGCGGATGACTGCCGCGCGCTTGAGAAGAAACTCGAGGCCGCCAGCGCGATTATGTAATGTTTAAATGTACATTCATTTACACGAAATAAGAACTCATTTTAATGGCTGGTTACATGTTTTATTTCTAATTTATGGTCTGTCTGCAACTTGAATACAGTTAATACGTTATTACGTCGGCTATGTCTGATTTGGTTCTTACTCTGAAACGCTTGAGAACCATTAGACTGGATTTCCCCCGGATATCAACAAATGAACCTAGTGGAACGATACAAGACATAATTCAACGAGTGCACTGTGTAAAGTAGGCTAACTTTTTGAAGTTAACTTGAATTTTGAAACCCACCTGTTCAATAGTTCGCATGCTTATAGGCCATATTTGTCTGATTATATATTTTTATTTGTTTATGTATTCGGATAGGCTACTCCAAATTAACCTGCTTGGCTAATTCTAGTGAAGGCATGGAGAAAGCCAAATATGAGTCAGCGTCAATGTCTGACTGATGCTGATGTTATATGATCTCAGAATAATATGTGACAATTAGTAATTAGCAACTTGCTGAAACGATAATCATATCATCTGATACTGATGCTCTTGTGCCTTGTCTCATATTATTTTGAGGTTATAAGTCTATAACACATAGCAAGTAGTCTAACAATATGTTGACATGATAATCACGTCATTAGGTTTGCTACTGTAGTGAAATATTAAAATATCAAAATAAAGAATGGTAGAGTATAATTCTCAGATACTGCATATGCATGAAAAAAGCAGAAAGAACAAATTAAAGTGCACAAATATGTGTGCATGTAGCCCAAGTTTGAATAAGAGTACCAATATGCTCCAAATAAAATAATAAAGGATTTTACCAGACAACAGATTATTATATCATTGATAATCAAAATCTATGCACTCACTATTCAATTAAGGGCCATATGTAGTTCGTACCTTTAATGAGTCCTCCGTGCTGTTGCTAACGCTGTGATTTATGACTCATTAAGTGCACACTTTACCTTACCGGTGTTTGGCTCCAAGAAGAATCTCTATGACTACAAGCAATATTGCTGTTTTTAATACATACGTTAATACCTCCAGAGGGTTGCACATTCTGTGAATCAGATTTTGTGGTGTTTACAAGAAAATCTGAAATGTGAGGGAAACACAAAATAAGTAAATAAAAATTAGTTCTGAAAGAGAGAAAGATGAACAAAAACAGGTCTCCAGAAAAAAAAGGTGAGAGCTCTGCAGTTTGTTTTTCTTCTTAGTTCTTTAGTATCTGATGTGGAAGCATGATCTCATCATATCAGGTAGCATAAATGTTTTCCACAGTGAGTTGTCTAACATGTGCTGTATGTTTATAGTGTTTGTGCTCATGAATTCATTTTGAGCAGAAATAGCTTCATGGACTCCACAGACCAAGTAGACTACTATGCTGTAAGAAAACACTGTCCTGCTAACCTAGTCAAAGGTACAGTAAACTATTGACACTATTAAAGCTTTTAATCATACAAACATTTTTCAAATGTATTCTTCATGAAGATCCAATATTTGGTGTATCTCAGAGTTTTAACCTCTATCACCTCCTCCTCGCTCTGCTATGTGCTCTGCACAGAGATGGCAAACGTATCCTTCACTCGAGTCAAGTAGAAGTATATACACTCATGTTTAAAAATACTCTGAAGTACTTTGAAGTAATGACTACACTTTTTACTCAAGTTAAAGTATAGAAGTATGGGCTCTGACATGTACTTGCCATTGCTACTACCTGTTTTGGTGTCACGCTGGTAACGGGACCTCAAGTCAAAATACCTTAAAGGGGTCATATGATGTGATTTCAAGTTTTCCTTTCTCTTTGGAGTGTTACAAGCTGATTGTGCATAGATAAGATCCCTGAAGTTGCAAAAACTAAAGTCTCAAAACCAAAGAGATATTCTTTATCAAAGTTAAGAGTCAACTAACTTACATTCCAAATTTTGTTAGCTAATGAATGTATCCAGGCTGACAAAATTTCACTCATCCAGGCTGTCCCATACACCCACAACAAATTCTGAAACCATGGACAACACTATTTTTTGTATGGCCATCACATAAAAAAGGTTAAAATCCTTAGGCTGGGGCCATGCAAAATAACTATATTTTCTAAATTGCCTAAATGTCAAAATTAGTACAACAATAACTACACAATATCTTTATCTTATATATCTTTATTACTCATTGTTAAAATGTTTCAAAAGTTTTTTAAATGTATGAAACCAACATGGATGTGAAGTTATTTCTAAGAACTTAGCACGTTTACTTTAAACTTGATTATTAAAATATTTCATATTTATCATAGACTCATATAAAATCCAGTATGTCTTATTTTATCATTGTATGACTTTCACAGTTCAGTTTTTTTTTTTCAAACAAAAAACATGGTCCTGCCTATTCTTCAAAATTTGTGTTTTCATACTGTATACTGTATATTAGGTTTTAGGGGTTTAGTATAATTAGAGCAAATGTACAATAATGCAGCTAGTAGTAGCCTACATTACTTTGTTCATCTCCTCAGGTCTCTTTCTCCAGCTGATAGCCCAGCTCTGCAAAGATCGTTTTGAGCATGTGAGTAAACATATTTTCAGTTAATGTCCAGATACCTAATACTCAGAGAGAGAAATCCAGTGCCTGGAAACTGTAGAAAACACAGATGACCTATCATGTGACCACCCAAGTCCATATCCATTTCAGGGTTAACATTATAAATAACATTAGAGTCCTTGAATCCCTAGTGTGTTTACTAAAATAATTTTCAGTATAGTTTAAGCATTAGAGAAGATTATGATTTCAAATCAATATCATTCTTCATGTAAGTTTTTTTTTTTTGCAGTGCCTAATGGTAAGTGTATATATGAGCCATGCAATTATTTGGTAAGTGTTGTAAACGTGAGGTTTACCATCAACATACAAACAAACATTTGCAAGCTACCCAGCCTTATGGGGAATGTATATATACAGTGGGTACGGAAAGTATTCAGACCCCCTTAAATTTTTCACTCTTTGTTATATTGCAG